GAGCTGGCCACTACGGGGCTAGCCATCCCCCTGCTTTAAGTATTCCCTCCCCCCCCCCGGCCAAGTGGGAGAACCAGGTCTTCAAGGCCCTTCAGAAGGCCAGGAGTGAGGGGGCCAATCGCACCTCCGGTATATTGAACACATAACGCCAGTGTCCTCTTCTCCTATCTTACAGTGTATATAATGATAAAACATGTTAACAGTTATTTGTATCAATCTTTTTTCCTTTATTACCAGTAGTAACAGTATTGGCCGTCTTATCTGGCAAAAGGGTCAGATTCATACTGAATCAGTGTTTTCTAGTTGCAACACCATGACCATCTTTGTGTGCATGTATGTGTAAATGAATGCTCACGTGCTTTGAGGTATGCTTGTATCTGGTAATGAAAAAATGGTACCTACTCAGCATTGTATATGATTTTCAGGGTGAATTAGGACAATAATACAAACAAGGCATCATGCTTTGTCATTCCTATTACACCATATCAGTGGCAGAGCTGGATTCTAGGTTCTGTGGCATCTCTTATTCAGGATTACTGAAAACAAAATCCCTGTAACTCTGCTGTGTGTTCTGCACAGGGCTTTCGCACTCTGGATGACATTCGCACTAGGGCCTCTCTCACCAGCCAGCAGGCTATTGGCTTGAAGTACTATGAGGACTTTTTGGAACGCATGCCACGGCAAGAAGCTGCTGAAATTGAGCAGACTGTGAGTACCTTTTTGAAACTATGCCAAAATGTTGGCAGAAGATCTTACACTATTTTTCACCAGATTTTAACCATAAGGCTACTCAATCTTGGTTTTGCTGATGACTCATATTTTTCTTACTTGGCAGCTTGCCAAATAAAATTCCCCAAAATATTTTCCAGAGGGATACTGTGTTAGAGAAGTACCCAAGAATCATGGTGCACGTAAACACTAACATATTTTCCGTGTTGATTGCACCCATCTCCCAAACTTATTATTGGCAAAGATATTGTTGGGATGTTTGGACACACCCTCCCCCTTTAGTTTCCTGTTTCAGATGGGAGCCATGGCAGCCATCTTGCCCTGCAAAGAGGCAAGATAGTACAGTAAGTATATGGGTGCCTTAGATCAGCTTATTGAAATGGCTACTTCATTATGTAGAAAGTAGAGAGTACGGAAGATGACCTTGATGGAAGTATCAAGAACTGTTACCTAGGCAAAAAGGGGTGAAATATTTTTTAAGTCCAGAGAAACAAGATAACATTTGGAAGTGACTCAGGCAGGCACCTCCTTGATTCACAGGAGTGTAAGAAGCGGGAGGACGTACAGCACAATCAGACTTGCAAGATTCTGTTATTACAGCCAATCTCAATGAAGTAGTTCTAGCTTTCCTGTGGGGTTGATTTCCCAGTCTGGTTACCTAATGGGGCTGACATAGAAAAAGACACCACCCAGTCTTTATGACTTCATGCTCTCCACAACTGGAGAGCACAACTTTTTCCACTCTCAGATAGCACAGGCTGAGGAAGGCTGGCTTAGCTCAGTTCCTTTTGTATAGCAGCTACCCAAGCCATGACTCTTAATGAAACCTCTTATTTGAAGCAATGTTCTCTCTCCATATTTGCTCAAAAGCAAAGAAGGGAGCATGGCTCTTTTCACATCCAAACTTCTGCCTATCAGAGGCCAATTTCCCTTCTTAGGCACATTTACTGCAGAAATTGATGACTGTTGATTTAATGTTTGATCCTGATGAGATCATTGTGTTTTCAAATAATCTGTGAAAAGACAGCCAAAGCTTCATGCTTTCCATGAAGAATCCTCAGCATATCTAGAAAAGCTAGAAAAAATCCTGGCTGAAGCTTTGAACAGCCATGTGGTAACACTAATAGATTAGATATCACAGTGGTCTGACTTAGGATAAGGCAGCTTTCTGGATTTCCTTTTTCCAAAGTTGGACTTCCTACCAAGTGACTGAGAAGAAATTCAAACCTCCATCCAGGTTAATACATTTTTATTTCTATGCCCTGCAAGCCTTTGTACCTGACCTAAAATCAATCTAGTTTACCAGTATATTTCTGCTTTAATTTTCACTTATGAAGCTTTGATAAATTCCCAATATATTATGTCAATCCTTCTCTAAATAATTCTCAGACTAACTGGTAGGATGGTTGACAGAAACATCTGTGACTTTCTCTTGTTGCTCTCCTGGTAAGGAAAGAGTGCTTTGCACCCTTCTGGCCAATTGTATATTTTTTTCCCTTGTCTTTATATATTTGGGCTGAACCAGATCTCAGGCTCATATATTAATACAGCTCTTTAAGTTCAGAGTCCTAAGCCACATGAAAAACCTTTTCATTGTTTCTCCTGTACAGTGGAATTGCCATGGCAGCACTGGGCAGCATGACGTTGTCACTCAGTCACAGTGCCTGCCCCTAAAGAATGCATAGTTGCCAGGTAGGGCATCACCCCTTACATAGGATTAAAGTTCTTTGGAGAGCCTCCGCCCTTGGGAATGGACCTATTGTGGATTTGATGGGATTACCCTTCTCTTGCCTACCTCAGGGAAGAGACAAGAGAAAGAGGGGATTAGCTGCTGTCTGTTGAAAATCCAAGGTGCAGTATGGGGTTTGCTGCTTTCAAGAAAACTTAATTGGGGAAGCAAAAGGGGAAGATCTGCATTAGAAAAGCCATGAAGGTGATTCCAAATGTTGCAGGGCAAAGGTTAATGGGTTTATTCCTCACTAATGAAGGATGATCCTGGAGACTGACAAGGAGCACTCATCCTCCAATGATTTCCCCCCTCTACTCACTATGTTCTGAACCAGCAGCCATGTCTTTGTTTGGTAAAATGGATGATTGGCATCATAATACCTATAATCCTGCATACCAAAATCACCTTCAAATGATGCTTTAATAAAGATAATATAGGAAAGTGGCTGACGGGGAACTTATCATTAGGCATAAGTCTATTGGACAGAGTTCCGGTTCTTGATATTTAACGGCAGTTCTGAAAGGACAGTCAATTTCTTGTGATTAAAGTCCCATACATGACAAAGAAATAAGAAGCCCAGGCCTATAGGAGGAGAATCAGTTGGTCTCAGGCAAAGCTAAAATATTGAAAACTTTTCAGGGTGGAGTCTTCTATGGCTCTGCACGTGTCTTTGGATACTGATTCTCCTATGCAGAGAATAATAAAAAATACTTACCCCCATTCCAACTCTCTTTAGATTTGCATCACAGCTTAATTTAATTTAATTTTATTTTCCCAGTTATATAGAGTAATGGCATCTTGAGGTATGGAAAGGTTGTCATGAATTTACCGAAAGAACAGCAACATCTTGTGATAGCAAAAATGTGTATGTTTTATGTATCCCATAACTCATATAGCATATCTAACTTTTGTGCACATAGGAAATTTATAATGAATGAATAGGGCTCTGTAGAATTTTCCATGATCAAGAGGCAGGGCTCCAGTGCCCTGTCTGTGCTCTTTATCTCTCCCTGTATCTAACAGAAGCAGATAAAATCTAATGGAATTTCCCTTCATTTGCTTGATATACTTCACCATTATTTAGAAAATATTTGGATTATGGTGGCACTGATTTTTCAGTTTGTTTTATTTATTATGCATGTCAAGCACATGAGATGCTGGGTAATTAAATTATTACAGTAAGTACTAAATGAGAGAGTTGAAAGTGGCATCTACAGAGCAGTTAATTTCTCTGATCTGTCTCTTTAAGGTTAGAGAAGCAGCTCAGTCTATTATATCTGAAGTAGTGTGTGTAGCATGTGGCTCTTTCCGGCGTGGCAAATCTACTTGTGGGGATGTGGATGTGTTGGTGACTCATCCTGATGGACACTCCCACCAAGGACTATTCAACAAATTGCTCAACATCCTTCATAAAAGTGGTATGAGAATATCAGCTGATTGTATGGTGGGGGTCGGAGTTCAGAACCATACTCTTGAATCTTTATACCTTGAGAACTATTTAAAGAAGCATAAGTAGGAATACAGAATAGGCACTAGTTTTGTTAGCTTGAGTTGATCTTGGCACTTTTTCCTAAGGCTGAATACTGTAGAGCAGTAACTGCTGCTATACTGGGAAAAGCTTTCTTCTTTCTTTCTTGGACTTTTGGGGATTAGTACTGGGCTATATGTTTGCTCTCTAAGGTGGTTGTTTAACTAGATCCTTCATGTTTGGGGTTCCTGTTCCTTTTCTTTTGCTTTTTAGGTAATAGGATGCTAGTCATCATGACACGGCATCCCAGTTCACTGTGGTGAATATTATGAACAGGCTGTCCTGGTGATGTCCTGTCTTCAAGGAGAGTCCCCTCCAATTGTATTGATCAGGCAGGATGTGGGACTGATATAACTAAGAAGGTAGCTTCTAGTGTCAACCTTAGTTCTGAATGGGGAAATGTTACAATCCTTTGCAATAATACTACCTGTCTCATATGTTGTGCTTTCCACTCAGGCTTTCTCACAGACGACTTGGTGAATCAGGAAGACAATGGAAGCCAGAAGAAGTACTTAGGAGTCTGCCGTTTGCCAGGCCCAGACAGGCACCACAGGCGTGTTGACATCATTGTGGTGCCCTACAGAGAGTTTGCCTGTGCTCTGCTGTACTTCACAGGCTCAGCCCACTTCAATCGCTCCATGAGAGCACTGGCCAAGACTAAAGGCATGAGTCTGTCAGAGCATGCCCTCTGCAGTGGTGTCGTGCGGGGACCAGATGGCCTCAAAACTGTGCCTGGGATTCTCCTGCCCACTCCCACTGAGAAGGATGTGTTTGCACATCTGGGGTTGCCTTACCGGGAGCCACATGAGAGGGACTGGTAAAGGGAAGAAAGGAAGCAGCTCCAGCCAGCCACAGGGAGATACGGGGACCTGCATGAGATTTTCAAACATATACAATTTGTTTGTTTTCCTTGAAACATATTTGTGGAGACTAAACCTAGGACTTTGGTGAGCAGCTGATTTTTTTTTCTATCGACTGTGAAAATTCCAAGATTTTGAAAATCTTTTATTAGCTTTGAAAGATTTCAGAGGAGCACTATGCACAAATTAACTGATTCAGTAAGCAGTTATCAGTGAATGAGACATTGTGATTGTAAAGCAGTTTGCACATTAAAAACCCAATTAATAAGTCTACTAAGGACAAATGGGAAATTTACAGAATTTAAATAATTTTAAAAACATGATTTGCAGAGTTACTATCCTTACAATATTTTGAAGATCTGCTATGGGAAAGGCCACTTCAGAAGACTGTTGTATATTGAAGGGATTTTGAGAATCTGTTTCAGAAATTTTGGAAGACTATATGTCTATTGCAGAGAGCTGACTAGAGGACTTTGGGCCAATTACACTCTCTCAGCCTAACCCACCTCACAGGGTTGTTGTAGAGAAAAAAGGAGGCAGCAGCATGATGTACACCATCTTGAATTGTACAAAATAAAAGTGGGGTATAAATCTAATTAATTTAAAAATTGCTGGGACTGAAGGACAGGGCTTCCTTTTTTTGTCACCAAGTTTGCTTTCTTGTACGCTGCTAGAAATCTGATCATTTGCAAAAGATTTTTGAAATTAGACTCAGGGTTGCATGAAATTAGGCCAAGGATATATGATTCCAGAGCTGCACTTGATCTATGGGAAAGAAAAGGTGATTCATGATTTGCACTTGGAGATAACTCTCTTATGAATTAGTTTATATTCTGTTTTAAGGAATATATTTAAAAAGTTACTCAAATAGTAGTAAGTATCACCACTGATATAGATTTCTGTATTTGCAGAGTACATATTAATCTTAGAGACTGGTGTGACTCCAGAGTTTGGAACTTTGGTCAGTACTTCCTTGAGGTCAAGGATAGGAGACTAAATGAAGTTGAAAACACTTCAGCAGAATAGGTTTTGCTTGTCTGATTAGGTAATTTCTTAGCATCAAGAAAAATGTCAGAAATTTACAGGTAGTCCTCATTTAGCTACCACAATTAGGACCAGCAACTTGGTTGTTAAGCAAAGAAGTCACTAAGTGAAACCATGACTATGCTTATGATCTTACTTCAGCTTTCCTTTGCTTTATTGACCTGCAAAGGTTGTAAATGTGAGGACTGGTCACAAAATTACTTTTTCATCACCATCATAACTGCAAACAGTCACTTTCTGAGGTAGTTGCTAAACAAGGACTACCTATATTTCTCTGATTGTTAAACAGAGACAGAACAACTATCTCAAAATGTTTTAGATTCAGTTTCCTAAATTCTCTGTCAGATAGACTCATTATATGTTAATTATAGGTATGTAAATTCGCTGGGTGTTGGATCCCACTCCTGAGAAATGCTATCCAGACATACATAGAACTGTGTTTTCTTAAAATATTGCCTGTAGAATACCTTAAGACTGGGTTTATTGTTTTATGGACTAGAAACTTGCTCTTTCCTTTTCCTTTTCTATTTGTTTTAATGGTATTACAGTTCTCCAATTCTGCTCAGTACCAATTCCTTTTTCTTTATAGTTTGATTAGGATGGAAACAGCCAAAACATGTATTATCTTGAGTAAAGAAAACTTCATAGTACTTGAAGAAACTGTGCCATAGCAGCAAATTATTTGTCCATCTGACCTAATACTGTCTATTCTGAGTAACAGTGGCAATCCAGAATTTTACACAGTTGATTTTTTCATCACATGCTAGTTGATGAAGATTGAGGACTATCTGAGTACAAAACATGCTATTTCATTGAGTAGTGACCACTCCCTAGTTTCCATGTTAGGGAAGAAGCTTGAACTAATTGTCTTTTCCAGAATCTTGCCATTCTGTTTTTATGATAAGTCCAGCCTTTTGACTTTAGAGACTCCTAAAGAATTTCTTTGTGTTTAATTCAATGTATCATGAGAATTTTAAAGGGTGGAGGGAGACAGGGATTATCAACCAAAAAGTCCATGTTAATTATGAGTATATTGTATATTGCTGTTGCCATTGAAAAGATTTTGAAAAAAGGCAGGTGCAAAGAACGAAAAGTTTAGAGGTTTGACAGGTGTACCCTACTTAGTTTGGCAAAAAGACTGAAAGAGGGTTTGAGTTGCTTGTTAAATACATTCCCTTCTCAGGGTTGACCAAGAGTCTCTTGGAAGATGAAAAACAAAAGCTTTTATGTTGCAGTTGCACTAATTCCAAATACTACTTCTTTGCAACTGGATACTATGGATGAGCCAGTTGAGGACTGATGGTACTGATGATAATTGTAAAGGTAGCCTGCTTTTGAAGGGTTTGCTGTCTGAGTTGTGGTAGTGATACTTTTTAAGAGACAATCTCAGTTGAATATTAGTTATTGTGGGAATTGGAAGGCAATTCTTGACCCACCCAAAGGTAAGGCTAGATGATCTTATTGAAGGTAATCATTTTTGCTCTCTTCCCCACCCCTTCTCTCTTGATCTGGGTTCAGAAGGAATAACTCTTGTCCTACCTTTTGTGCTGGTGGCAGGGAGCCACAATTCACACCCAGGTACTAACAATAGCTCTAAATCATCAAAGCTTCTAAGCTCCCGCGGTGAGCAATTTTTACAGATAACTGGGATCAGCAATTGGGCAACCAGGTGGTGAGTCAAATGAATGGTTGGGGCCAGTGGCCTGCTTACAGCTTTCCTAGACTTCAGTGAAGCCTCAGCCCTCTATTTTATGAGGGGTCTCAATTCAACTCTGATGGCTGTAATCCTCTTTTATAATGGATTTTTGTTTGTAAGAGATTTGGCCTGGATTCTGTGAGAGAATTCACAATGCTAGATCACACATAGTTGTCAAGTAATTAGCCACTAGTTGCATTTTCACTGTACCATCAACTTTTTCTCCTTAAGCTGTAAAATCTACTCTAGAATAGTCCCATTAGCTTTATCCCAAGAAGTATAGCAAGTGTGTCCTCCTAGAATGCTAGGCCTAGATTTTAGGAAGCCAGAGTTCTGATTTTACACTTAGCCATGAAACTCACTGAATAATTTTGTTCAATCACCATCTCTCTCAGTCAAACCATACAAACCATACAAACCAAACAGCCCAATACACACTATGATATCCTGCCTTGAGCAAGATGATATGTATCAATAACATTTTACATTTTACCCTTGATCTGTAATGTCCCAGAAAGCTCCATTTTGTTCCCTCTGCTGTGGAGTATTTACATGAAAACTCAAAGAAGTTATCCTTTGCACTGAGGTGCCATCAGTATAGTCTCAGCCCTGCTGCTCCTTGGCATCTTACGCCAAGGAATTAGTCAACTTCTGAATTTGTACACTTCACTGAATCATAAACTGACCAGACTAAGTTTGTCTAACCCACTAAGGCAGAAGGAATGACACTGACAACCAGGGCTTGTATAAATGCTGCCGCTAGGTCTTTAACTAATCTGGTTAAACATATCACACAAATGCAGCCAAGCCCTGGTGTGAGGACAGAAGCAGTGGCTCCATGTCAGAGGAAGAGAGGGGAGCATCATTTTGGCAAGAAGAAGGAAGTTGTTTTACCAGTGGGCTGTTCTGCCATTGCTTTACCCCATAATCTTTAGGAAGACCTAAATCCTTTGGCACTTATTTTCCCTAAGCATTTTGTTGGTGCGAGTTATAGTTCAGTCTTTGAAATTATAGCCTACCAAATTCATAGGGAGCCCCAGTTTGGTGTAGTGGTTAAGGCATCAGGCTAGGAACCAGCAGACTGTGATTTCTATTCCCACATTAGGCATGGAACCAGCTGGGTGACCTTGGGCCAATCACTTTCTCTCAGCCCTAGGAAGGAGGCCATGGCAAACCACTTCTGAAAAACCTTGCCAACAAAACTGGAGGGACTTGTCCAGGCAGTCGCCAGGAGTCCACACTGATTCAAAGGCACCCAAAAAACCCCCCAAAACATAGGAACTTTCTCAAAACAAGGTTGGCGTAAGCTACTTTAGAACTGGCAGTTTACAGACCGCAGGTAGTTACTAAAACTTTTTTTGCAAACTTCCAGGCTCCCAAGATAATGCCGCTGAAATTCTGTAGCAAAGTGTCAAGCAACAGCATTATGATTTCTCGCTAATTTACAGTGGGAAAAAAGAAAATTGGTATATTAAGCTTCAGTTGGTTTTTCAGTTAGATTAGTTAACTAAACATCCTTTAAAAATGGGAAATATCCCATCTATTTTGAGATTGCTTTTAATAATAAAGTGGAATAGAAATTGTATAAAAAATAATTTTCAGAAGGAAAAAGGCGAAGCTTCTCACTCTTTTTCTCCCTCCCCTTCCTTACGCTTATTTTTTACACTGACTTCAGTTTAGGTGGGCTGTGAGTTAAATATTTCTAAGAACCACAAAAAAAAATGTAGAAACAATATTGTTATCCTAATATCTACTGTGATCCGTGATTTGAGATTGACTGAGAAACTAGTACAAGAACTAAAGGTACTCAGTATGCTCACATATGAGCTGCAATTTGAACTGGGAAAATTGTAGGTCACACTCCAGCTCTGTAACTAGAAAACTTAAAATGTATTCTTTTAAAAACTATATTAATACAAAGCAAATTAAATAAGCAAAAACCCAGCAACCCGAAATTGGAGTAGTGTAGTATGCTTTGCATCCCCAGCCGGGTCAGATCATGAATGTTCTATGAAGTGAGGGCGTCCTCTTGTGGTCTCTTACAGTATGTCCTTTTGACTTACCACAAACTGTAGTGCACTAACCATAATTGTTTTCTGCAAGTGGGATCCAGTAGATACTCTCATTAATGCCCTGTGTAGCTAGAAAGTCTTGTAGGATAATAATTCTTGTAGAAAATAGATAATATTGTTCATCAACTCACTGAGGTTGTCCTCTGAGATTTCTTCTCAGTGCCTCCCTTCCCTTTACTTGTGTGAAGCAGCCAGTGGAGTATAGAGATTTCAAACAAGGCATTTGAATTGGACTGATAATCCTACAGCTGTTTTTTGATCTGCCTCTCTGCTGCAGTCTTAATCACTTTGTGAGGGATATAAGAATGTTTAGAAGGCAAATATGATGGTAAGGCAGTGACTAAAGGAATTTTGTGACCTGAGGGGAAAGAGAGAGGGAATTATGGAATAAAAGAATTCAAGTTCCCAATTATATTTGGGATTTTGGAATTTAGAGCTGTTTTACAATTTCTGTATCCTTGTGCTTTTAAATAAATGAATATTTATCTTTTGTTTTAGATGTTTTTATTGCTGCATTATGTAACATGTTGCATGTTTCTGTTTTGATTAATCATATTTATATTTTTATTGTTTGAATATGTTACATTGTAAATCAGTATAAAATATTTTAAGTAAATGTAACAATATTCTTGTGGTTAAGGCCAGACGTATTTTCTGCACCATTACAGCTGGTAGAAATATTAAAGCTGTTTTCTTTCAGATTCAAGGAGTGTTCAGACACATCACTCTAAGCAGTGCTAAGCAGCACTGTCTAAGGAATTTTTCTCTTTCCTCATTAATTATGATTTTTAAAAGATGGAAGACATGTTTTACAATGGCAAAACAAAGGAAATTACAAACGGAGCCTGACAACATCAGGACTCTCTAACATTGTATATTTAAATCAAAGTGATTATATAATTAAAGCCTCACACAGAGGCCTGAGAACTTTGATAGATTAATTTAAACTGCAGGTCTAATTGTCATGCAAGTCCTTTTCATTCTTTCTAACACAATGGAAAGTTGGAAATAAATTATATGAGGGAGCTTAGGACTGTCTGACTGTCATAAGGATAATTTTCTGAAAACAGAATGGAAAAAGACCAGGTTTGGTGTAGAGGGAGAAGCCGACTAGAATATCAATTTCAAAAATGGCTTGAACATTGGGATTGCAAAGAAAAAAATCCAGAAAAATTCCCCCAGTGCATCTTTATGGGAAAAGCAGTTGGGCAGTGGCTCAGAATGTAGCCAATTGCTCCATTTTAAGCTCTTCTTCCTGGTCACATGGCCCAGAGTAGAAGTTCTACTAAGAGGCTGGAAAGAATTCCAGGG